TGAAATTGAAAATACTATTTTGATACTTAAATGTTTCCCAACTGATTTATGAAACATTAGATTTGAACCATAAATTCTATAACTGATTCATATACATCCATTATGGATGACTAGAAAGGAAACAGAATATTTATGTTGTATTAATCTAACAGTTGTTATATTAAAATAATTGCTGGTATGTTAGTTAGATCTGAGTTATAACTACAGGCGGTTTTAGGTTTAAATAATGCATAAACGAGAGTCCTATGTTTACATAAAGCTAACTTTTCTCACAATTTTATTCTGATCAAACAGGTCAAAGAAGCAGTGAGGAAACGAATTTCTAACTTACGATAGGATTGTTCACAAAATCAGACCTGTAGTTCTTTTCAGGACTGAAGTATAGCTACAAATAATAAGACAGATGAAACAAATACATCTTGGTTTATACTTTATGTACTCTGAAATACATCCATCTGTATATTTTTCAAACATTTAGATGACCTCAAAATCTGAAGGTGTACTTGAAAATATATTGAAACAAATCTCCGACAAGCCTTTGTTTTCAAAAGCCATCCAAATAATGTTCGTCACATTTCGTTGAAGAGTCGAAATAAATCATTAAAAGGCTGCATATTTTGTTTGCATAGTAGCTGAGACTCATATTTTTCTCTATGTCTCTAATCGGTGTTAAGTCAACCTGTAGGTGGCATTTTAATAACTACAAAAAATAACTGATTTAAAAATTTTGTAACATTTATTGCCCGAATAGGCTACAAAACAAAACATTAGCTGATTCACTTAGATGTTTGTTGGTCTGAAAATTGTTTTGACTTAAGAGTATTAGTTGACAAAAGTGGCTTACTTAATCGCTGGATTAAAAGCAAGAACATTGTAGATTATTTTAGAACATATACTTCTTTCGAATAATCGACTGTTCTCCATAAAGTGGTACCAACGAAAGAAATTTATCAGAACACATTTAAGTACAAGTTTTTCATAATGATAGTAAAGTAAAATGAAGTCAAAACTTGGTTATTTATGGATTTTTATAAATCAGTAAATAATTTATCAAGCTAACCAACGAAAAACCTCTCCCTCAAATACAATGACAATTAAGCATAACTACAGATTCACTCATCATTACCATAATATCTATTATTCATCAATATATTTTGAAACATAATAAAGTCAACTAATCAGTATGAAAATATAAAAATTTGCAATACAAAAATACTGGATCAATAATTTTATTTATACATTTAACTACTTGGTCAAAGTTTCCTCAACATGGATGAAAATACTCAGAATACTAATTAATTATAAGGACATAAGGTGAACTCTTCGGGTTGTCGCTGAATAGTTTAATTAATAATACAGTTTCACGTATTAAAATAAAATTAATTTATAGAGTTTAGTCAATAATGAATCATTCACCTTATAAGTAAAAATTACATGCGGGTTTCACATGGCACTTTCAATTCAAAATATACATTCATTGTAAGTATAAATGATGTATTTTAATTGACAACAAAATAATATAACTTAGTGAAAGAATAAATATCAGGCAAATTCAAATTTTAATTTAATCAGAACTTAAGGATATACAATAAATTAGTAGCAGTAGTAGTAATTGTAGTGTATGGAACAGAACACAAGTGGGGGACAATCGAATATATTTGACACAAAATTACAGGACTTGTTAATAAAATATAACAATCAAATAGTGAGTATGTAATTTGCAAAATGTACATCAATTGTCCCAGAATGACTCAGACTTCATTGTTTTTGCATTTTCATACAGATCGCATTCTGTTTCCATTCTTCACTGTTCGATACTCTTGTCTCTCTGCTCCCAGAAATTCTTTTCACGAGTAATGTCATATACTACTTATGTCGATATAAGTAGTACATACTACAGTAGTAGTAGTAATTATTGTAACATTTACCAGACACACTATTCTTTATCATCGAAAGTGGTCAATAAATTAAGAAACAAACGAAAATGGTTTGTATATGGTAGTCTTATCTTTTTTTGCAATCAATCGACATTAGATAATCTAAGTATATTTATTCCTTCATTAAGTAATTTTAAAAGCGAATAAATGAAGTGGTATTACAAACAATTTTTTTCAACTAACTTGATTCTAAGAATGAATGATATTTAATTATAAAAATAATTGAATAATAATAAACTATAATTGTAACGATTTCCTCTTTTTTTGATCGAGTTCATGTGGACATAAATGTTACCAACATTTTATGCTACCCATAAGTAAAAAATTACGTAATTTAGAGAAAAAGTTTCTTCACTAGGTTCTACATAAATAACACGTTTAAAATATATTCATTATTATATGCAAAAGTGGATAGTGGCTAGCAGTGGGATCCAGGATGTGCGTTTCGTCCTATTTGGGACACGTCAGCTGGATATACCTGCATCTTAGAGTAATGCTTGTAAATTAAGGCAATATCGAGGCAATACGCACACTATGCACATATGCCAATAAGAGACTGATCAATTGCAGTCTTCAACATCAATGGGAAGATTCAAACAAACAATACCAAATGAATTTATATCCATTATTGTTCTTTAACAAATTCATATACTGAATAAGTAAAAGTCTAGTGTTAATTTCATATGCATTTCATAAATTTTTTTCAAATGATCTGCTTAAATGGTTTTAAACTTCTATAACTCAAAGAAATTACACAACATTCCAGCTGTATAATTGGGTCTTTTAGGAGAAGTGTTACATCATTTCGTTTTGTAAATAAAATGTACCATATGTTTTCTACTTAATTATATGAAACCGAATAATTATATCAGTAGAACATATTTTCTTACTCCTAGAACTAAGTTATATCCGAGAAACAACACATTTTACGAACTTCTGTAGTGAGCGAGAACACCAGTGGGGAGAACCAGATGTAATTGAACACAAAAGTACAGAATCTTTTGGTAAAATCTGTGAACCATACAGTAAATAATTCATTTTCGAAATGTCAATCAACTGTTTCATACTTGATTGCTCCTTCGTTTCTACACCGATCATTCACTGTTCTCGTTCTCTTCTCTTCGATGTTCTTAACATTTTTTCGCCAAGCATTTCACTTTCAATTGATCATACATACTACTTATATCTGTCAACATCAGTAGACCACGCTACATTTCATGTTTGCAGTTGGCTCTCTAGTATCGTGCAGTAAGTAATTCGTACTTCAGGATTGGCAAGTCATTGAAATTATTGAATAACGCAAGGACTTTAATCGATATCTTTATTATTATAGTGGTGAATTTTTATCACCAATGTTTATTGCCAGATCGAATAACTCTTAAAAATTTTATTTACATAAATAACTGCATCTTACAGGAATACTGTTCTAGTGTGTATATGCCATTATTTGTATGCATGATTAATGGTAAAAAACTTGTTTATTTTCTTGATTAATGATAAAATATCACTTTACTTCTGAATACATACATCCTTGAAGTTAATAGGAAACAATGGTCAGATTAACAAGTTATGGTTAACTCAAACATCCTACATAAATTACGGTAAATTGAGTGTCTAACTTTATGAAGATTACTAATTGGATTACCCCAAAGAATACTCTAGATCGATTCACATTGACGAATCAAATAGAATCGAATGTTCAATGTCTATGTAGTATGGAAAAAATAACATAACCCGAAGTGTTATCTGGTTGATTAATGTAATAATTCCTAAGAAAAAGTGCTTTAAAAATATCAACATTTCTTCAATACATTTAACTTAGTGAATCATTCACTTTACCATTTTAGAGTATTTTGATTTATTTTTCAGTTTTAAAAAATAATAGTTTTTAGTTGAAAAATAAGATTTTGAAATTGTCTAAAACATTGTTTTGCCGGAAACAGTACATTTAATTCACAAGTAATCATTTATCGAAGAATAACAAAAACATCAGTTCAAATTTACCCTTTATTGGAATACCTGACAAGAAGTACCGTGTTAATTGAGTATATCTCTACTTATTTTTGTAGAGATTAGTTTTGTTTTTACATCGTGTTCATCATGGATTGAGACTAAATGGGGTATAAAGTAAAAAAGTATATGATTGGACTTCTTCGTGGTTCTTAGTCAGGATCTCTCCAAAGATCAAAACTAAAAACGATAGATCTCGTTGCTAACGTTTGACACCTAAACCGCTGATTTCAAATCCAATTATTTTAACTGTTGGATCGTAAATATACACAACTTTTTCGCAATGATAATCCATAATAATTTAGTAGCAGACTAGCAAAATGGTGGAAAACGTAGGCGTGTTATTCTAATCAGGAGTTTGGAAACAAAGTACTTAAGACGATGAATATAAACCAAAGTACTATTGGGGTTGGATAAAGTCTAACACTGGCTATGTGAAAGCATTTCGAGAGGAAGAGCGAACTCTTCTTATTCTTAGACACACCACGGTATTCGGGTGCAGCTTTCCCATACCTAATTCGTCAGTTGGTCCATCTAGTTGATGTGCTTAAAGGACCACCTTCGCCATCCCGTCATTTTGTCGGACAATGAAGGAGGTTTCTTCGCAATGACTTTGTAATTGCATAGATTGTTGGACTTTTAGATCTATTTGATTCACGATTTACACAGAATTCTGAATTCTCCTCTTTCAAATTTTAGTTACATTTATATTATCTATGTATAATGCTGGCTGGCACTATACAAACGTACACTGGTCACCATAAGTAACGTATACATTATGAGCATAAACGGATGGTGGCAAGTAGTGGAGTCCAGGACGCGCGTCTCATCTTATTTGAGACTTGTCATCTGAATGTACCACATCCCAGAATTGATGTTCATTCGGGAACTCGAATTAAGTATCTTTCGGATCCCAAATAGGACGATTCTACTGCATGCTTCCACCTATCTCTGCTTATAATTTCAATTATTGTTACTTCTTAGTTTAACATTGACTATTTGTAGTCAAAAAACAATGCTTTCACCAATATTTATCTATTTATTAATCTAATCACATTAACAACGCTGAAATTTTATCAACTGGACGCAAATATAAATTATTTTAGTTATTATTACTACTATAATTAGTATTGGTATAAGTAGTATTAGTAGTAGTGTTGTGTATCCTACTTACGACAACAGACATAAGTAGCATGTAACACTAGTTGAAAGTGGAAAACCTGGCAGCAGTAGGCTAAGATCATGTTGAAGAGAATACAAGGGAAAATAGGAAGAAATTGTGAACTTGAAAATCATACAGAATGTGAGGGACAAGCAACAGAAAGTTACAAACAAGTTCCAAGTGTATGGTTTTCATATTTAACGAAGAGATTCTGTAGTGTTGGGTTTTGATACGTTGGTTGTCTCCACCTGTGTTCTCGTTCACAATATTATTAGTAAGAGTAGCAGTAGTAGTAACGTAGTGTGCTACTAATGTCGAAAGATATAAGTAGTATGTGTGATCAATCGAAAGTAAAATACCTGAAAGCAGAAGGTTAAGAAGATTAAAGAAATGCGAACGAGAAAAGAGAATGATTGGTGTGGAAATGAAGGAACGTGAAGTCTGAGATGGTTGACTGACATTTGCAAAAGGAACAGTCAAATTTGAGACAATCGATTGACATTTTGCAAATTAATTATTTACTGTATAGTTCTCAGATTCTACTAAGATGTTCTTTAATTTCGTATTCAAATACATTAGATTGTCCCCACTGGTGTTCTCGTTCATTACAGCAATAGTAATAATAATAGTAGAATTAGTTCATGTGGTGTTGAAAATTGTCAGTAAGCAAAATATAAATTGTATGATTGATAAATAAAAGATTTTGGTGAGAAGACACATCAAGTTAAATAGCGAAATGTAATTCATATGATAGTTGATCTGATTAATACATTTAAAATAGTAGATTCGTTTTGCTTCTGTTGAAAATATTACTCTTGTAATTTTTTCATTCAGAAATAGTTCCGTTTCTCTTGAACATATAAATGCAGAGAAATCGACGTTGAAGATCAAGTTAAGTATTTCAGAGACATTAGTTAGGTTGATGAGAGATTTTTTGTGTGATATTTATTTATTTTGACTGTTTAATATTTCATGTCTGGAATGTAAAATATTTCATTACTGAATGATAAATTAAATCTGTAAATTATTACAGGTAAAATAATGTAACTCAAATGTTTTGTTCTGCTTTATAAATACAAGTGATATCTACTCCTAGATAGATGTTTATGTACTTTTATTGATTTTCTGATATGCTTCAATTATTTTAGTCCATAATGTCTATTCATTGAAAGTCAAGTGAAAATATAGTCAGCCCTAGTGAAGGTTACTCAACAGAAATTTATGTAATAGACATTTGTAATGGAAAAATCCTTAAGAATTATCAAGAATTAAGTTGATTATAAACATTGAGATATTTAGTCGTATTACCTCATAAAAAGTTAAACAGATATCGCTTAACTCTTCGTTAAATCTTGAAAAAATTCAGTGAAATACGATACTTTCCGATGCATAACACACAATATGACTATATGCAAGATACTTTCGTTTACATCTCATTAAAATTATGATAAACATTCAGACAACCCAGTATTCAATACAGATAGTCGATTATTTTAATCTCTATTCGTTGATGCTTCTCAGCCTAGGTTTCGACCTCATATATAAGTTGTTATATTTGGTAGTTTATATGTGGCTTAAATTTTCAATGTCATTCTAAAGTAATTTTACCTAAAATAAATATATAACATTACTCGTGTCAATATTTTGCAGAAAAAAAACTTAATTTAGGCATGTGTATTATGTGCTATATTTGCCAATATTCACAAGTTGAAGGTAAATTTTTAGGAATAACTGTGGCATGATATTATCTATACTACTCCATAAATAATCAATAGTATAGGGACGAGAATCACTTTTAGGTTAAATGCAGAATGCTGTAGTATAATAAAAAACATGTTAAAAATATTCTAATATTTGGCGATTCAAACCACTACGAATGCTTATCTGGCTGATATTGAATGTCAATCTTCAATCCATAGGTCTAATTTTGTCATGGAAAACAAACTAATAAATAAGACCTTTTCTCATCTGATAGTTATCGATATTAAACGATAAGTTGTTTAACATAAGTGTTTGAAGGAAATGTCAATAGTATTCAGCCAAAATATGCAAGCAAGTATTCATTCAGTATACCGAATAGTATTTTCAGCTGAATAATGAACTAAATTGGATAGTATCATCTCAATATATCATTAGCTCACATTTTACTTGTTCGACCGAATGAACAGATGTATTTCTAAAATCCGACTGCTGGGAAAACGTACAAAAGCATGTTCATAAAAACAAATGCAAATATCTGTGAGTTCTTGTTACGTATCTTATGCAAAATGTGAACACGTGCAAGTTCCGGGACCCTTGTGTTATCAAACAACTGATTTTTACAAATGTGCGACGAGATTACCTTACAAAAACGTAAATGTCTGTTCTTCAGATGTACTAATTTACTGTAGAAACTGTACTGACAGAAAAAGCAACGTTGACAAGAATGAACTATATTTTTACAAATTTATGACGAGAAATCCTTTTATTTCGTTTTAGCTTCATTTGGGTGATGCTACTATCGTTGAAGTTTCGTTTGCGTAAAATTTTGTCGACTTCATCTGATGTCAAAGGAAGATCATCTGCAATTTGTGAAACGAGTTCTTTCGGTAATCTTTTAAGTGATTTTTGAGACTTTTTAGGTTGACTAACGATTGGCGCACCATCTTCTGTGTTTTTTAGTTTCTTAATAAGTGTATGAGATCTTCGGTGAACAGCTTTAGGAAGACTCGATAATTTTTCACTTATTGTAGTTAAAGGTGCTTCTGTTTCATCGTAGTACAAAGGAATGGAGATACCTGAGCTTTGAATGTAAATAGAACGGATATTTGCCATACCACCACCTGGCCATTCTGAACAAATTTTTTCACACTAAAAAGATAAAAAGGAAATTTAAAAGATTGATGTTTTAAATTAGTGATTGCATGGAAACAATAAAAATGTTAGTTTTCATAATAGTCACACTGATTATAGAACTATTGGGAACTTAGATAGTGATTCATTGAGTAGTTTATAAACGCAGTATTTCATGATCCCACGAAAGTCCTTTTAGCCAGTGATACGTAGAGTCGGAATCAATTATTAAATCCTCTATAATTTGTCAGCTTAAAACATTTCGTCATTGTGGGCTGAAATCAGATAAGGAACTGTTAAAAATCAGGAACCGGCCCTGGCACAACCAAGGGTGGGAAGAGTACTCTCCCTCTAAATGCTCTCACATGGACACGCGTATACAACCACTGCCAGAGAAGTCATACTCACTGCCTTTTCGTGACAGAGATTCTGTTTACGAAATTGAGAGGACGAGAAGTGAATGTCCAGCGCTTTAACCGGGTTGGTGTATATGGAGGATCCATTTAGGGAAGTTGGAAAACCCTGATTTCAAATCAATGGTGTACATGGGCTCCAGGATCCTAAGGGCATAAAAGACGTATGAACCTCTTATTGGTCACTGGGTACCATGAAATTGCATTTCCTGACGTTGTGGATTAGACATTTAGGTCAAAGGATTTGAATGTGGTCTCCTAAGTAAACCACCTGTTTCGGTTTGGCCACCCGGGCAGTATTCCAGCCCTCATACAAACCAAATGATTATTACTACCGGAAAAATTATTCTTGCTTCAACTCGCATTCCGATAAACTCCACTCACAATCATTCGATAATATTCGTTCTTATCGCTTTTATACTACGTCACTTATATATTCCCCTTTATTCTCATTTTGCACATTTTCTTTTCCAACTTATACAGTGGCTCGCCTATGGTGGATACCCTGTCGTATCTAAACGATCCCAAGTCAATGACTGGTCGAAAAATGAATGCTACTACCGACTACGAATACTGAAAGTCTTTCTCAGACCACGTGCACCATTCGAACTGGCTGCCTTCAACGTCCGCACATTAATGCAGATCGAACAACAGATGAGTTGGTTATGTCTTTAAGAAGTCTTAGTATCGATGTCTGTAGTCTATCCGAGACTCGTATTCAAGACTCTAGCGAAGTACTACAAATTCGCTCTCCATTTGTCGCTTCGAAAAGCTTACTTCACGTTCGTTGCGCTAGAGTTGAGGCAGCACTGACCAATTGAATTCCCAGTTGGTTATACACTGATAGACTAGAAAGCTTCACCAAAGTGAGTCGGTGTACGGAACGATTTTTTTGAACATCTACGCCTACGCCCCGACAGACTGAAGCTCGGATCTTATCAAGGATGAGTTCTACCACTAATTATGTGTTCCCCTACGAAAAGTGTTTGACATATATTGTTGTATTGACCGAAGACTTGAATGGAAAGTTCGGGCATCTAGACACAGAAGTCGTTTGGATGGCTGATTGGGACTTGTTGGTCGCAGGTTAGATAACGGTGACCATCTACTGAAACCGTGAGCAAACTACAACCTGTTTCTGGCTAGCACTAAATAGCGGCACAGACATCGCTGATGTGTTACCTGGCATCCCTTCCTCTGCATCTTAAGCCTGGACTCAGACTGATCATATCGCAATCACCTATCGCTGGCGTGGTTGTGTACAAGCCTATCGCTCCTTTTGAAGTAATTATCTGGACCCTAATCATGCAATGAAATTGGAAAAAACTTGCGTAAGGACCGAGAAGCCTGGTTGTCAGAGCGTGCTAAAAAGCTGGAAGCAACAGCTGCATCTGGTAACTGCCGGGAACTTTCAACTCACCCGAGCCACTGGCAGCAAGAAGTTTGGTGTGAGTGAGACAATCTGTGAGGATGACGGGATGCCAATCACTAACATCCATCGACGTCTTGGACGATGGGCAGAATTCTTCGAACGGCAGTTCAATTGGCCTGCTGCTCCAGCAACATCGATCAGATTGTCCTACCATCCATGGTCTGTGACGACTGACCCGCTTAACAAGACGGAAGTCCACAAGGAACTGCAACTCTTGGAGCGCCACAAATCACCAGGCCCAGATGACTTACCTCTTGCCTTTTACAAAGATCGTGGTGACTTTCTGATCAAGGAACTGAGTGAGTTGTTTACAAAGGTCTGACAATTAGAGAGTGTTCCAGCATCATGGAATAAGTCAGTAGCTGTTCCTATCTTTAAAAAGGGTTTACATCGTTCCTGCAGCAACTATCGGAGTCCAAACTATTGACTTCCATCGTACTTCGTAGATTGTTCAGAACCCGAGAAAGATTGACTCCCGAGGAGCAAGTTTGTTTCCGTTCTGGTCGAGCATGTGTTGATCATATCTTCACCCTCCGCCAAATCTTAGAACACCGTCATACTTATCAAAAGTCAACAATTGTAGTTTCTTGATATTAGGGCTGCCTTTTATTCGTTGGACAGGACTGTTGAAGATTGGTGTGCCTGAGAAGTTTATTAACATCATAAAAGCCCTATATACAAACACCTCAGGTAGAGTGAGGGCATACAACCACCTCTCTCCATTGTTCCATTCAAGCAGTGGGGTTAGACAGAGTTGTCTAATCTCACCATTCCTCTACAACTTTGCTACCGATGACGTTCTGAGAACGGCTTTGGTGGATGTAGGTAGTGTTGGTGTGGATTTGTTGCCTGGAGAAACCTCTCAACCTTGAGTATGCAGATGATATCGTCTTACTGTGCGATCATACCCAAGCCATGCCATCCGCACTCAATCAGTTGGCATATTAATTTCCGTAGGTATGGTATGTGCTTTGCACCTTTTAAGTGCAAAGTACTTTATCAAGACTGGCAGGACCCTGAACCTACACTCACCCTGGGTAGTGAGCACAGAGAAGTCGAGAAGTTCATGAAGCTCGTAGTTGCATAAGTGCTGGTGGTGGTGCGAGTGATGAGATCAATTCGTGTATGGTGAAAGACAGAGCGGCTTATGCCTATCTGGACCATCTTTGGCGCTTTCGTGATGCCAGTCTAGCTGTAAAATGTCAGGTCTACAACGCGTCGGTAAGAGCAGTTTTGCTCTGTTTGTGAAACATGGATTTTCTGAGTTGAGGATGTTGGACGACTATCTGTGTTTGATCACCGTTGTCTCCGAAGGATTGCTGGCATCCAGTAGTAGTATAGACGCCCCACAATGGTAGTATTTCTCGATCTTAAGGCAGCATTCGAAGCTATTGATCGTGAGGTTCTATGGCAGTGTTTGTCACTGAAAGGAGTACCAAGGAAGTACATTAACCTTATACAGGCTCTCTACTCGAACACAACTGGTAGAGTGAGAGCTTATGGCGAACTGTCATCAGAATTGATTACCTCAAGTGGTGTTCGTCAGGGCTGTCCACTCTCCCCATTCTTGTTCAACTTTGTCGTCAACGTAATTTTAGAGGTAACACTCTCCTCATCTAAATTTCCAGGGGTTGAACTTCTACCAGGAGATTCACTTGTTGACTTGGAATATGCCGATGACATAGTTCTATTTGGTGAAGATGCCGATAAAATGCAGAGTCTTCTGACCACTCTAAGCAACAATGCAAGCATGTTCGGGATGCGATTCTCTCCCTCGAAATGCAAAATGTTGCTTCAGGATTGGGTTACATCGACACCCGAACTAGTGATAGGGAGTGAAGTAGTTGAGTGTGTCGACCGCTTCACTTATCTTGGAAGTCTCATCAGCCCTTGTGGTCTGGTGTGTGACGAAATCTCAGCACGGATACAGAAGGCTCGAATAGCTTACGCCAACTTGCATCATTTATGGCGTAGGCGAGATATTCGTCTATCAACCAAAGGACGTGTTTACTGCGCAGCAGTTCGTCCCGTCCTACTTTATGGCAGTGAAACATCGCCGGTAAGAGTAGAGGATATCCGTAGGTTACTAGTATTTGATCATAGGTGTCTTCGAAATATTGCTCGTATATCGTGGGACCATCAAGTAAGTAATGCAGTTGTTAGGAAACGGGTACTAGGTAAGGATGGCAAATCAATTGATGACGTAGTGAAACTTCATCAGTTGAGATGGCTGGGACACGTGTTACGTATGCCCAACCACCGACTGCCTCGACGTGCTATGTTCAGTGGTATAGGAGTAGGTTGGAAGAAAGCTAGGGGCAGCCAAACCAAAACATGGCACAAGTCCATGAAGTCACTGACAAGTGAACTGAGTCATGTTGGTAGGTGTAGACCACCTGGTTGGGGACCGCGAGATGATAGCAACCGATGGTTAGAGACCCTGAATGACATGGCTCAAAATCGTTTGCAATGGCGCAGGTGCATCCACTCTCTGTGTTCTCCCAAATTCTAATCTTCTGAATTCTTCATGTCCCTTTTTTCCTCCTTCCAAATTTATTTCACTGGATTATACTCTTTAAATAACATCTCCAGACCCTAATCTTCCCGATTACTGCTTATACTCTTATTACCTCTACCACTACGGGATTTGAATCGACAAGTGCATCTCTGTGCTAATGTGGTGTGGCAACTCGAACTGATGTACGTACGTACGAAGTTCTACGTTGTTACTGACTGACTGGCAACACCATTTTAGTAATGCAGAGGTTCGATATTGTGTGTTCAGGCACAGCGACGATAATTCAATTAGTCATTATCCTGAAACATTGACTTTGGTGCCTTAAATATGTCCCACGAATGTTGTCTCAGAGAACTTCATGTCGTGCATTATTTGCCGACACTGGAACTGGTTGAAAAAAGTGGGGAGGCGGTCAGTGTATGACATGATGTCACGGTACGAAAAAAAGCTGTATAGGACTGGCTTCTATTGGACCTTTACGACTCCGTGATTGGGTTTCTAGAGATGGTGCAACACAGTAGCTAGAGACGTTATTAGATATGGCTCAGAATAAAAGCCAGTGTCGATGCTGCCGTAACTTTCTTTTACTTTAATAAAAATGAACGTAACTTTTTTGATTGAAAGAATACTTTTTGGTTATACTTTTGTTAACTGAACTGCTTCTCACATTAGTATTATTATTATTATTAATTCACTCTAATACACTAATTTCTGTTTTTTTTTCTTTCTTATTATACGCACTTTATCTATTCACAAACTCATCGTTATTGTGTGGGGCATATGTATTTGGTGCCCCGTTATACTAATGTTTGTGTTCAAATAAATAAATAAATGATTGATAAAATGTAAGACTACTGAGTTGTACTACGGCATAAAAAAAGCCATTATAATTTGTGGACAAAATCAACTAATATGATTTTGACCCCGACCCATAGGGCATCTTATTTAACGCTAAATATACGTTGAGTCGTTCTAACCGGTACTGGTAACCTGAAATTTTGTTCACCGCAAAAGCTTTTGTAACGTCTGATTACTTTAGTTGTCTTGGTTTGGGGTGACCGAATGACTGAGTTGCACCGAATTAAAGACCCCATAAACAGTGAGCTGTTCCAGTTCACATATGGAACTTTATGAAGGAAATTATTTTGACCCCCCTCCTCATTATGTAGGTTCGTTTACTGTTTTTTGGTATGCAACATCTTCGGTAAGACGAACAAATAAATACCAGTTATTCAGTGATCTTTAAGTAACAATACGTTGGTCACTTAAAAAAAGAATACAGAAAGTAACGTGTAAAATAGTAAGGATTTCGTGAGTACCTACATATCTGGAAACAAACAGGATTATTATTTGTTATTACTACTTCAAAAATCTAGTCATATCAAGCAGTATACAGATACGACAAGCAATCAACAAGACGTGTCATTATATTCACTTCAAACATTTAGGACTTGAAATTTAGAACAGAAATCTAAAAATTACTTACAACTGATATTACATTCTCCTTTAGCTCGAATGAAGAGAAAAGATCATCCCCAATTATGAGACTATCGGTTGTCCCATTGCCTCGAATTACGAACAAAGATGTATGTAGTTGCCGTCGGACAGTATCTACAAGATTATTGTTCGAAAATGACGTTGGGATAGGAAATTTCCCTGAAACCTCCTGGTAGAACGCTTTACCCAGTTTATTTTGTAAACGATGAACAATTCGTTTGTCGGCAAGAAATATGTCAAAAGTGGCAGCCAGTCGACGTTTGGCAGCAAAAGTTTGGTAAGCTACTTTTAGTTCCCGCAGAGGTAAAAATGTTACTTCAGGTGCGTCTAAGTGAGAAAGTTCGGACTTTTTCAAATCCATGTTCCAACGCCGTTTCCAAGATTCTGTAGTGCGTTCATAATCATCTTTGCGAAAATCTTTAACTATCAAACAGATAGATAAATTTTTTGAACGATGTGGTAAGTTTACACGAATAATTTTTGGGATGGATAATTTGCTTATTACTACAAGATGTACACTGTTAGGAATTAAGTTTAGAGTTTTGAGTTTCCCTTCAGGTTTCTTGAAACTAATATCTGTGATGTTATTTAAATTTTCTTTGATAATATCCATCTAAAAAAGATAAAACTGGGTGATTAATCACTGTATATCAGAACCCAAGGAGAAATTACTATTATAGCTAGAAACGAAAACCGGCCGTCCAAATTTGTTACGGTTACAATTGACAAAAAGCTGAGTGGAAAGACAATTCCACCAAGCTCGTCACGATCACAGATAGTTTAGATTAAAGAGGCTGTCCTATCGTCATAACAGTAAAAGAATTGGAGCAACCAATTTCAAACCAAGAATATTGACTTCAGTAGCTGCATAGTCCTTGACAAAGTCCCGAGAACCTAATAAGAGAAAACCAGACTGTTTCTAGACCTGAACTTAAATTCATTGATCAAGTATGTTTACTGACAATTAACTTAGGTTGTATTCCAAGATCTAATGCCTGCGTGTGACCATGTTATTCAACCAGTTTTATGACTATCTGAAAGGTGTGCAAAGAAGTATGTTGACCAAAAAGCTCTACTCTTACATTTTCAAATAAAAACATGGAACTTTTTTGAACTCTTTGTATTGAAAACGACTATTAGAAATGGCTGTTGGCCTGGATAAAATGCTTTGAACTATCACTACTCGAAATGTACTTCAATACATAAAATACAATAACCTGCCATGCGTCCAGGGTAGTAAAGGGAATGGTAAAAATTAGTACTCTACTCAGTAAAATATGGTGTCCTGAACAAATAAGGTGAAAAAACCACACGCAAAACATGGGACCGACTGTATTAAAAATGGGGTTCTTCGCAAAATTCGGCCCCATGTGCTTCGTTTCAATCTGTTTCTATTCCTGGGTTCAAATATACTGATGGATATCACTGATCAATATATTGCAAGTTCGCACATTTCTATGAGCAGCTTGGTTTTTGAGTGACGTTCTAAATACTGCGACTAATGGAGATATTTTGGTATTGGCGGAGTGAGTCGCCGCGACCACCACTTACTGTAACGAGCTATACGAAAAATGCGCAGTGAAGCAAGCCTTCAATCCAATATCTTATATCTTTTTCATGAGCTCGTATAACCAACTGATCTGTTTGCGCTCATTTCTTACTGTTTCAGTAAGACTCCAGGCATTTGGCAACGTCCACTGAGGTTATTCTAACCACTCGACTGCACTAATTCTAGTCAGTGTGGTAGTCATTTGTGAATTGATATATCTTGTAATTTGAGTGAGTGCATTCACCTCAGAGAAGTAGGGTTTATGGGTTCCATCTTCTGTCTCACTGATAGGCAAAAGATTTGGTCAGTTACAGTTTTAAAATAATAAAGTGGTAATTCCAGTGCTAAGAGAAGACCCTTGTCTCACGAATAAATACATAAGTTAATTAATTAATGATACAGACATCGTGAGAAGACTGAATCAGAAGAATAAAAGTTGAAATGGAGATGACAATAAGCGAGCTGGTAAGCGGTTCCTGACGTACGGTAATGATAAATATGGTTAATTATGAGATACGCATCAGACACAGCTAGTCCAAGAGGGATATGTTAATCCATGGGTGAGTATATGTCTGTCAATTCGGGAGGGAAAGCATTCCAAATGAGTGATACTCTTAATAAGAAAAAGTAGGAGCTCCTCGATGTGCAATCCTTTTAACGTTTAGTGTTGATGTTTCGCCAGTATGTTCGTTTTGGGGTGGTTTGTCGTACTCAATATGTTGTATGTCATCATAAGATCACCTCTTATTCTCCTAAGGCTCAGCAAAAATAATCCCCAGTGTTAGAGTCTACCCTCGTACGGTTTGTATCATAGCCCTATCCCCCAGTCGGTTGCTTGTCCCAGCACATGATCTGAAGAATTATGTCTCTTTTGAAGAGAGGAGGTGCATCGACATTCTGGACGTTAAGATAAGTCTGTGCATGTGTTTTGAACAGTGTGAGGAATGACTCTAGGGTGACTGCACCACGTTGTCCACGGTCAAAGTGGAAGGATGAACCAGCCTTGACTGGATCACCTATGTTGTTCAAGCTGGTGTTTAAGCTCTTCCTAATTGCAAGCTGAAGATCACACTCTAAGGGGACAATCGGAAGAGAATTTCGATTGGATGTGTAGATGCTTCATCTCAAATGAGACAGAACTGTGATAACATAATATTTCGAAGATTTACGTCTTAACCCATTGTTAACTGTCCACTCCTAGATTATCGTAAGGTTCTTTTGAGGTTTAAGTGAATCCTTTCGTATTTTACAGACCTGATTTTCGCGTCGTTTGCATAGAATAGTGCCGTTGAGTTAATTTCATCTAACAGGTCATCATTAAAGATCAAGAGCGGGAGTGGACCTAACATTTTAAGACTCACTAATGTGCTCGCATTCAATTTACTTTGGTACGGAGCATTCTTTTCTCTAGGTAATTTCGATGTCAGGATAAGATTGGGTCAGTAAAGCCAATCTCTGCAATTTTTGGTAAGAGAAGTATATGAGGTGCTGTGCCAAAGACTTCCCCGAAATTAAGAGATATTATGTGAACTGGTTTCTTTTGGTCCTAGGAGGATGTCCAACTGTTCCATGATATAAGAAGACTGAATTGACATTACCTACCGTTACTAAACTTGTGTTTAGGTTCCTGGAGAACGTTGCTTTCACTCATAGACACCTCATTTGTTCATTTTCCAGTACGATAATCCACCACATTCTTTGCGAATCGACAGCTTCCTCGCGAACCAAATGTGGCTACTGTACAGGAGGAAATAAATGGGATCAAATGTCCGAGATTTCCCATACTGTCAGTAGGGTATGAAACCTGACAGAAGTTACACCTGTTAGATATGACCTAGGTTAGTACTGGTGCACTTATCCATGCTACTAAGGCAATAAACCTTATTCAATTACGTGGAGTTGCCATGACAAAACTAAAAGGTTACAAGGCACCTTATCTTAGATTGTCGTTCATCTGAAGCATATTGCAAAAATGTGGTTCATTTTTTAGGATTCTGCCGGGAAAGACTTGTGAAAATTCTAGCAAAAGGGAATCAACCAGCCATAACATTACCAATCATCCCATGCTGAACACGTAAGCTATCAATCAAATTTCCCTCCACAAATCAACAAATAAATTCGAAAGCTGCTATAGTTTAAAAAACATGCTTAGAACTTGTGCTTAACAGCGATTCGTGAATTATTTCAATTGGAATACTGAAAAATCGGGAATATATACGTAGAAAAGCAGTAGCTAGATTCCGCACTGTTTACGAAAGACATTCGGTATACGATTGCTGTACATGATCAAAATGGGAGTTTTAACAAGAAAGCGTAGTAGTTGAGTTACCCATTACTGTTGCGCGGATATCCTGATAAGCTGCTCGTGATCACACTGCTAAGATACCAGCCAAAGGAGCAGTGCTTGCGACTAAGGAAGCTGTTCTTTAATAACTTATTCACCTTGAACTTGTTAAGTCACAGGGCACTGGCGGGTTATATGAACGACTGCTGTGAGTTCGTCTGGACATTATTTTACAATCACTTACAGTTCTGCGCAACATGTCGCTTTCTCAAACTCAACTCCCTGGGAATCGGAATAGAGCTATCATAAGTCCTTTGTTTGTGTATAGAAAATGACACATCATGTCTGACTACCGACCCTTCAGTCTAACTAATATAGTAGTTGTGGTATTTGAGAAAACAAATCCGGATATGTTACCAAATCATACGGAACCATACAATCTGTCAACCTCTTGAGCAATACGGGTTTGGGAATAAAAATTCACGCTACATTATTTAGTGACTGCGAGAGAGTACCGGACATTAGACCAAGATATTGCCTCGTCTGTTGTTGTGAAATTCATAAGTTTCGGCAAAAAATATGAAAAGCTATCTCAGTAAGAATCTGTGCAGAATCTCTCAGGCTTTGGAACAACAGTTACGAAACAAGAGTAGATGAGAAACTTACAGTGGCCGGAGATGATGAGAGAAAGTGAGACAGAACCTGAATGGAAACGGATTACAATTGGTATACACCAAAGCACTATTTTAGGTTCTCTATAATTTGCTCATCCACGTTAGTGAACCGCAAAGGCTGGTCAGGTCGTTGACACAGTTGGTCGCAAGCAATGTCAAATCTGGAGTGAGCAAAGTAGTGGGGCTGGTCAACTGGACATCGCGGATCATACGTTCATTGGAGGCAGAAACCCTACTGATGCTCGATTCTTCAATCTCATTGAAAATCTGGGATTATTTGAAAATGTGAAGTCGGCAACTCGTTGGAGAAGCAGTCAGACACCGTCACGCTTAGACTGGGTATTTACAGACGAAGAATTCTTAATTGACAACCTCTCAATCCTGGCTGTTCTGGGGAAAAGCGATCATGCCATCATAGCCTTCAGTTTTATCAGCAAAACTGAGCTAAGAGAACTTGAACGCTGACTTGGTGTGGCGGAAAGTGCAGCACCTAAAATAGACACTTCTCCTAGTCCAGATATAGTCCATTCTGCTATACTAAGAGAAGCACCTTCAGTCTCATATTCGCTAAACCGAGGCACATTACCATAACAGTGGAGGCTGGCTCATATCGCACCAATTTTCAAAGGAGGTCGACGCGGCGAACCTTTAAGCTAACGACCGCTGGCACTACTCTCTATACCCTCAAAAATTATGCAGTCCCTGATATGCGATGGTATACACGACTACTTACTATCCATGAACTTCCTTCCGTCATAACAGCGTGGTTTCAGAAAAGGTAACTCTTGTTTAGTCAACCTGCCGACTGCGGTGGACAGATGGACAACCATCTTTGATCGCAAGGAGAAGGTTGACGTCATTTACATTGACTTATCGAAAGCTTTTGATAGGGTCGACGACAAATGTCTTATCAATAGGCTCAACCATTTAAGTATCAAATCACCTTTAACAGATCGGCTCACTTCATACCTAAAGAATCGACATTTTAAAGTCAGGGTTAACTTCAATATCTCTCAGGCTATGGAATGTCCTGGTGGGGTCCTCAGGGTTCAGTGATAGGCCCTCTTATTTTCTTGACTTATACAAGCGATCTTCCACAGCAGGTATTGTCAGATTTACCACTTTTCGCTAATTATGTGAAACTCTGGAGGAAAGTAGGCAACGAAGAGGATAAACCGGAACTTCAGAAGGATCTGACTGGACTTCGGGGTCGGCAGATGATAACGGACTTATCGTTAACACTTCAAAGTGTAAAGTAGTAAACCTGAGACATATTGCAGACTACAGCTACAACTTAGGCGGTTGCCCTCTAAAGGTATCTCAAGTTGGGAAAGATTTAGGAGTACTGGTACCCTACCATTTGAAGTCTTACGCTACCTGTGACAAAAATACCTTTCGAGTAAACCTTGCGCTGGTAACGTTTAAGTGCATTTTCGACCAGCTCGACGAAAGAACTTTCCACATAGTCTTCAACAGTTTCATTCGTTCCCGTTTAGAATACTGAGATATAGTATTTCCTCGATGAGGCTATAACTTATGGACGACTTTTGAGCGACTCTAGACTGACCTTGAGAGTACCCACCTAATAACCAGGACCAAATGTGGGTTATAAACCTGTGTGAGGAATCATAATTTACAGTTAGCGATTAAGGTCACGAAGTAGATTTAGGGTTTTCATCAACTGACGTCAGCTACTATGCCAAAACTCCTGAAGATGCCACAGGTATTTGGAGTTTTACGACGCTTTAACCGGTAACACCTAATATTTTGGGAATTTATTTACCGCTACACTCTATTAATCCAAATGGATTACTGAATTTTGTGCCAAAATCTGGGGCCCGTCATCTTATACATGACTGGTTCGTCCATAAATTATAGTCTCGCCATTTCCTCCCTCACTTCAAAAGGATAAGGACATTCTGGAACTCATCCAACGGTCAGCCACAAAATCAGTTCGAGGACTCAAATTCAAGCCTTATGAAGAGCGCCACAGGTCACTGAACCTTTATTCACTAGCATATAGACGTCTTATAGGCTACCTTTTGATGACTCTCAGCATCCTTAGCACTTCTGAGCAACCCCTTTAACACCTACCTATGATTAGTCTGAACACAAACATCCAGAAACTGGGAACAAAACTTAGCAGAACGGAATATAGACACGCCTTCTACTCCTTAAGAGTAGTTAAATGCTGGAATTCACTGCAGCCTGAGCTAATTCAAGCGACTTCTCAGTGGTCCTTTAAGAGAAAACTTGATATATTCTTAAAAACTAAGGACAGTATCTCACTATGATTTATTAACATTTTTTCTTTTTCTACTTAAGTTCCTACCTGCAGGCATCGGTGATCCACTGCTACTAAATACGGAAGGCCGTTAAGCGAAAGCTTCTGTTCCATCCATAGTCATTTGAGCTATTTGAATATATCTTGTCCTTGTAGTTTGGCGGTATTTGAGAATGTCGCGCCTGTTTTTCTATAATCAGATCAAAGAAGTGATTAACCGTTTGCCTCCTCATTATAAGAAAAGGTATTTACAGAATCAGCATGAGTTGGCCAATGAAAGAGTGTGCAATTCATCACTACGTAAACACGAAACAGGAATTGCGTATGTTGACTTATTTCTTTGTGCTTACCGTTTTATCTAGGCTTCCTAGTTCGTATTTTGATACTCCTATGAAAATTGTCTATCCTCCTGAGTCTCAAAAATGCCTATGGGGTGGTGAGGGTATTATTCAGGGCTACTGGGAGAAAAAAACACCGAGGCCAAGGTTTGCCAAAATTAGGCCTAATTTTTGAAAGATTTCCCAAGACATGGAGTCCTCTTCTCATGGAAAACTTATTTCATAGTGAGATTCTAGACCGTTGGATGATTATAATAGTAACAGATAGCGCCCTAAGACAAATCGAAAAGGCTAGTGGATTTGATTTCTATATACTCTCGGTTTGTCCATGTATATAAATTATATTGTTTTCTTAGACTCCAGAATCAAAACTTAAAAGTAGGCTTGGAATGCATTTAAAAAGAGATATGTTGGTAACGCTCGCAAAGGCGAAGATGAATGGTAAGATGAAAAAAAGCTGGGAAAAGTATTCTAAATTTATTATACCTGTGAGTCATACTTCACATATTATATATATTTATTTTTACTATGACCATTCGTCAGACGACTTTTATTTACTTATTTTATTTAAACACATAAAGACTTGGTACAAGGGGACACCAGATACATGCGCCACACAATAATAATGCGAATGGGAAGAGATAAAGAATGTATAAGTTGAAAAAAGGGATGGATGAAGTGAGAATAGAGGCAGATAAGTGACAGTATATTAAGAAAATAATAACAGTAATAATAGCAAAAATGAGTGTTATCAAGTGAGTGTGAAACGTCCGAATTATAATTGGAGCAAACATAGTATTTCGTAAAATAATTGTTATCTATTCAGATTTGTGTGACGGCTGTGATACTGCCCGGGTGCCTGAATCGAAGCAGGTGGTTTCCTTAGGGGGCCACAGCCTAAGCCTTCAACCTAAAGGTCTGGCCCACAATTTAGTGGAACATCGTAAGGAGATGCAGTCCCATGGTAGCCGGTGACCAATAATTTGTTCATACGCCATTTGTTTCCTTAGTATCCTGGAGCTCATGTACACCATTGGTTTGGAATCAGGGTTTTCCAACTCCCCTAGGCGGATTTTCCATATCGACCAACCCGGTTAAACCGCCGGAGTTTCACTTTTCGTCCTCAATTTCGTAAACAACACCCCCGCCACGAGCAGGCAGTGAGTAGGACTTCCCTGGCAGAGGCTATGTACGCGTGGTCATTTGAGAGCATTTCGAGGGGGATAGTTGACTCCTCACTCTCTGTCATGCCAGGGCGTTTGGGGGCCCTGAAATGACTTGTGAGTCGTTAACCTTTATAGTGCCATCAAAGTCAATAGGCACCTTTTGTACACTACAATGCCGTTTCACTAGATGGCTCATTATTTTCAGTATCACCCTAGTCCAAATTCTCAAAAACGTCCAGGCTTTGTCTCTCATTTTGAGTGAGAACAGGTTGTATAATCATCGGTCATTTCAAAGTCCGTCACTGTCCGTAGGTTTACTTTAACGGCTACTCACAACAGAACTGAAAATTACATTACAAATAGAGGGTGTTATGTATCGAGTCGCATTGTTAAGCGCTTATATTACCACTACTAAGTTTGTAGTATATACTTTATCCAAGCTAGTGAGTACTAAACAGTTATCATTTCATATGTAGGAACGGTGAGAGGCCATTCGAAAGCACCACTTGAGTCGACTGTTTTCGAACAGTATAGCATTGTTTCCTAATTAATGAAAAAGTGGGTTTCCTGACGGTAAGAGGTGTGAATCGTCAGGAAGTGCCTCTAAGCAAAAAATCACAACCTAGAACTATTTTTTGGAGTAGGTATCAGAAATTTGTAATAGCGAACGCATCCTTTTATATTAAGCGAATTGTTAATCTATTTGGCCGGGCTGTGTAATACCACTAATCACACTGTTAGTATTCATTTCAATATTTTCCGTCAAATATTTTCAGATAGTCATTTTTGTCTTAAATGTTGTGTATGTTTGCTTTGTTGTCCAGTTTTTGAGTTAAGTTTTAGTCATTATTGATCTCATCAATACATGGATAGTCATTTTGGTTAAGTATTTTTCTGCCTTGTCCAAGTCCAACAGCTAGTCATCTTATGCATTGGTCTGTTAAGGGGCTATATTTACTTATAAGTAAATAGTTAATTAATGTAATTTCATCTACCAATTATAAAGAACGTTTTAATTATATATATATATATATATATATATATATATATATATATATATATATATAACCGGTGTATCTTTATACCGACTAACTTTAAAGCGAAATATGAAAAGCAATATTTGTCAAAAATAGGTGTCATTAGATGGACGAAACATTGGGCCAATCTAAAAAACGAAATTCTAGTACATTATACTTCACATCAATGCATTGGTCATATTCAGTAAATACTTATTCCTGGGCTGCTTCTCAATTTTCATATGAATATTTTCACCAAAACTGAACCACGTTTATCTGCCAATACATTGAGCTACAATGCCAGGATGTTTAGGATATGTTTTTCCCTCTCTAAATGCAAGTTGTTGCTTCAGGAATGGCCTTCGTCAACACGTGAACCAAAGATGGGGAGTGAAGTAGTGCTTTATCCATTCTCGATTTTCGTGAAAAGAGTAAAAATTTTGATTGTTAAACACCGCTCCTATATCTCGCTTTCTTGTGTTTTTTTTTGTGATTGTACTGTGAAAGGGTTACACCCGAAATTAATGAAATCTACCATCAGACTATAATATTTTGTATCTTAAAATGTATAAAATCCCTAATGTTTGTGGATAGTACCAACACGGTTAGTCCTAATTATATAAAAGAATAAGATTTATCATTTTTTATTCTTTCAATATTCGATTTTATGGTAGGTTGTTCATCCGTCTAACAAAAATTACATTCGTTGTTCAGTTAAAGTTGCTTTCCACACCAGACTTGAATCAGAGAAACTATTTAAATTCGGCGTGGACGTAGCCCACCCCATAGAATCAAACTTAAAATTTCCAGAACTGGAATTTAAAATGTTATCCTTACATCGCTTATCGAAGACCCAGTGATCCATGCTTACAAATTCAGCCAATTTGTAGTAAAGCATGATCACTGTTTACTACATATTACTTTATGTGTCTATCTCAATCAAATTTTACTATTGTATACATATTTCAACTTGTTTCTATGGTCACTCTAACCTTAATACTTTTATGTAGTTGGAAGAAGCTGAGTGGATTGGTTTAACACTCGAAGAAGCTGTTAAAAAACAAATGAAAATGGAACATGAAATATCCAGAAGTCAGCTAAAGCCACTAAAATTCAGTCTAGCAGAAAAATTGATTGATAGTTTAAGAAACCCTGTCAAGGATGAGAAAGGTTAGAGATAATTATGTCACCAAGCGTTATATACTATGCAACATTTTGTTTTTCATAAATTAAGATTTCCTTGATCTTTATGTAGTTTTATTATTTGGAAAATGCAATTTAAACAACAAGTTAAAATGTCCCAGGCATTTATCATCGTGAACTAACGCAAGTTATAGAACCTTCAAAAATGAAGTAACACTGGACATCTTATTTACTCATTTTAACACATAGATATTGGTACAAGGAGGCACCAAATACATATGCGCCACACAAATCTCATTCGATATGTGTGAAGGCTGTGATACTGCCCGGGTGCCCAAACCGAAGCAGGTGGTTTTCCTAGGGGGCCACTCCCCGAGCCTTCGACCTGAAGGTCTGATCCACAAGGCAGTGGAACATCGTAAGGAGATGCAGTCCCATGGAAGCCGGTGACCAACAATTGGTTCATACGCCATTTGTCCCCGCAGGATACTGGAGCCCATGTACACCATTGGTTTGGAATCCGGTTAAAGCGCCGGACATTCGCTTTTCGCCCTCAATTTCGTAAACAAACCCCCGCCACGTGAAGGCAGTGAGTAGGACTTCCCTGGCAGAGGCTATATATGCGTGGCCATGTGAGAGCATTTCGAGAGGGAGAGCGGACTCTCCCCACTCTCGGCCGTACCAGGGCATTTGGGGGCTACTAGACATCTGCTTTACCTCGATTTGAGACTCTTCAACAATTGTAGCAGTAATTCTAATGATAGTAACCAAAACTCATGCAGTTGTTTATCGTCACTATAGTTTGTTAGAAAGAATAATGCACGAATATTATTATATTTTCGTGTATTTAAAGGTGAAGAGGATACATTAGATAGTTCAGCTTTTTACTTGCTTATGATACTGGCGGCTTTCAATACAAGTCTTTAATGGTCATTGTAGAAATCAGACCTTATTTATGTGGTTTATCCTCGATTACTTTCTACCATTCATCGTCTAACCATGTGTTACAATGTTGAATTGCTTCGGTCAGTGGAATGAATTGTATATTTTAGTCCGCAGTTTTAATGTAGTCTTGATGAATAAAGTATCGAGAATGTCAGTAGCAAATAGCCTGTTTCTACAGATCTTACATTTTTAAAATATAAATACGTTTACCTATTCTTAAAATATTTGAATAATCAACATTTCTCTCAACTATTTATACTTAGATAAGGATGAAGAAAATCCGTCCAGCTACTCGTCTCGGATTTTCAGTTGATAAACCTTTGACAATGAACAAATATGATATGTCTCTTTTCTCAGAGAAGTTCAGATAACAAGGAATTCCTTATCATCTTGTGTCTACTTTGTATGTATAGTCGCTAAAATGATTTTTGAAAAATCTACTGTTTGCAACTGTTGTTTGGAACTTGAATTGTTTAGTAAATAAATATTTTATTATAAGGTTAGGTAATATTGCTAATGTTGTTGTGCGACCGAAATACTTTTTTTAAAAAAGTGTATGTAACCAATGTCTGCTCTACTTTACCTTGTACGGTCTGATCAACATACGGAATTTATGTAACTCATCGTCTACAAATAATTGAAAGAGGAATTTAATAAACAATTAGTCAACAAACTTCAAACCCACTAGAATGAATGTTTTAACTACATACATCAAGACAAATATTCCGTCCTTGTCTCAATTGCATAATATCTAAAGTGTATTTTGGATTATGATTTTAGCCATTACGTTTTCTGTATAACAAAACTGTGAGTAAAATTCTATTGATAATTATTCTTTGTTTGGACATCTTTCATTACACAAACGTTTTATTAGAATATGTTAAGAATGGAGTTTAAAACCCTAGATGGGAGCACATTTAATTTTTCTTTAAACTACGTTACTAATAATAGATGCTTAGGCCCTGATAAGTTGTAGTGTATAAAATGTTATTGGTTATTAAGTGTGGACAAATAGGCATTCTATTTACTGACTATAGAATATGTGATTTCCTTTCCTCCAATAATTGATTTCGACTCCGGACTCAATGAAAGTGACTATTTGTGATTATGTAGAATAAAGCATTTCTAGCGTTACTCTGCTTTTCCCTTTTTGATCCTGAATCAGGTATCTGATATAATTTTATATAGTCGTATAGTGTATCGCTCGAGTATCCAATCTAGCAGTATTGTAAGCCCGGTCCAGCCTTATTACCATATTATCGTAGTACACTACTGAGCGAAAAATATTTACATTCAATCTGTTAAATCAGGGGCATATGAAATAGTTAAGTAGTCACGCAGATTTCATTGTTTTCTTATTGGTGTTGGTGGCCAGCGAGTTGAGCTTATTCTTTTCGGTTAATATTAAAAATGTTAAAATCAGTAATAAGACTTTCTGAAAACTATGCTATGGTTCTGTGATTGAAGTGACTTCTCGTGCAATTTTGTCAAAATTGCACGAGACATGTTCTCTTAGAGCTACAGTTCGTGCTCACTTTCTGTTGCGCACATGGCAATATCTCATTCAAACATAGTGCATCCAATGTCTGGTCATTCAAACTTATAGTCACACGACAACTTGATTGATAAAATTGATTAGGACTAAGAACTGAGCCAATATGATATTGTTTAAGATTTCAATTCACCAATACAATTTTAATCAGCATTCTCATTAAAGATGAAATTAGAATGTAATCTGTTCAGGGTTGTATTCATCTTCAAATTCTTGCGAGTGATTGTACACCAGACTACAAATTCAAATCAACTAAGCTCGAAATCGCTCCTTTATTTAAGCAATGACAAGCTAAATTTTATTTTCCTATTACTGAGAGAATTGTCCTTCATACCCTGTAATGGATCGAAATCCGTAATTTAATCAAAAATGCAAAATTCTTCATCCCATGTTCACTTTATCAGTAAATTTCCGAGAATCTGTAAAATTTGTGACAATCTGTGCGCAAGACTAATTCACTACCATTGCATGTACTATGTATATCAAAAATTTCCTCTCTTCTGCCATTGTCTTGGAGATGCTTACACCAATGTTTATTATCGTAGTTTACTTGGGAGATTATAATAGCACTAAATGTCCAAGCACTCTAATAAATCAACCTACTCAAAAATGGCCTTTTTTAAGTCTTTACTTCCTTACAAGCATATGTGACAAATCGTTCATATTATACCCTATTGACTACAAACATTACTCTAATTATACTGTTTGCTACATTATTGTAAGAATGTATACAGAATAGCAGTTTAGTTTAGAAAATCTTCACTAAGAAACGATTGATAAAATAGATGTAAAAGGTAGTTTATTGTCAGTCAGTCAGTCAGCTACAACGTAGAACCAGGCACATATGTGCATCGGTCCAGGTTGCCATACCGCATCAGCACAACAAGATGAACACCGGATTCATAGCAGTGGTTAGGTCAAAGGTAGTAATATGTAAGAGAAAGATTGCATATAGAGATATAGTACAAAAAGAAAGAATTGGTTCGTAGAAAGAAAGATATGAAGCGATTTTAATCTCTTAGTTTAAGGGAAGACAGGGAGTGTATACACCGACGCCATTGTGATCGATTCTGAGCCATGTCACCAAGAGTCTCCAACCATTGGTTACGAAAGTCACGCGGACCGCAACCAAGTAGTCTGCATCTACCAACATGGCTCAGACTAGAAGTTAGTGACTTCAAGCACTGATGCCACGTTTTGGTTTGGCCGCCCCTAACTTTCTTCCAACCATCCCCTACCCCGGTTAGCATTGCACGTCGTGGTAATCGGTGTTCAGGCATACGTAACACGTGGCCCAACCATCTCAGTCGATGAAGATTCATAACCTCATCAACTGATTTACCATCATTCCCTAATATCCTGCCTCTAACCTCACTATTACTTACCCGGTGATCCCAGCAGACGCCAGCAATATTTCTAAGGCATCTGTGGTCAAATACTAATAGCTTACGAGTGTCTTCTAGTCTTAATGGCCATGTTTCGCTGACGTAAATTAAAACAGAACGAACTGCCGCGCAGTATACTCGTCCTTTTATTGATAGACGGATATCTCGCCTTCGCCATAGGTGACGTAAGTTGGCAAAAGCCAAGCGAGCTTTTCGAATCCGTGCTGAGATTTCGTCCGATACCAACCCATTAGGGCTGATCAGATTTCCAAGATAAGTGAAGTTGTCAACGCGTTCGACTACTTCACTCCCTATCCTTAGTTCAGGTGTTGACCCAGACCAGTCCTGAAGCAACAACTTGCATTTAGAGGGAGAGAAGCGCATCCCAAACATTCTGGCATTGTTGCTTAGTGCTACCAGAAGACTCTGCATTTTATCAGCGTCTTCACCAAACAGGACTATGTCATCTGCGTATTCTAAGTCGATAAGTGGACCTCCTGGATGGAGATCAATACCCGAGAACTCAGTCGACGAGAGTGTTATTTCCATCAGTAGATCTATGATGAAGTTAAACAAAAATGGGGAAAGTGGACAGCCTTGACGGACACCACTTGAGGTTGCAAATTTAGATCACAGTTTGTCATAAACTCTCACTCGACTAGGAGTGTTCGAGTAAAGAGCCTTCACATGGTTTATGTACTTCTGAGGTACGCCTTTCAATGACAGACACTGCCACAGAGTCTCGCGGTCTACCGAGTCAAATGCTGCTTTTAAGTCAAGAAATGCCACCATCGTCGGACGCCGATAGGTATGCCTGTGTTCTAGAACCTGACGAATGGTGAATATGTGGTCGATGCAGCCACGACCAGGTCTAAAGCCAGCTTGGTTCTCTCGAGTTTGTAGTTCACGAGTCTTAGTTAGGCGTTTGATAATTATCGAGGCCAGTATTTTAGATACTATGTTTGTTAAACTAATCCCTCTATGGTTGTCACAGGATGATTTTGACCCTTTCTTATATATTGGGACGATAAGTGATTGCGACCAGTCAGATGGGATAAAGTCTAATTCCCAGATCTTAGCTAAAATATTAGTCAACTTAATCGCTAAAATTGGACCACCATCCTTAAAGACCTCTGGAGCCAATCCATCTGGACCAGCTGCCCTTCCTCGTTTCAGATTAACTATAGCCTTTTGAACTTCAGCAAGAGTTGGGGGACCTACTTCAATGTTCCATTCACACTGTCTGGGAATGGAGGGTATTTGTAGAGTAGCTGAAGGCCAGCTGAATTGTTCTCTGAAATGTTCCGCCCATCGTTCTAAACGCCTGGACTTGGAGCAGATGAGTGTATCGTCTTTTTCCGATATAATCTCACTTACACTTGACTTATTAATTCCAGTTTCTTTTATTAGTCTGTAAAGCTGTCTTGTGTTCCCTATAGTCGCCACCTTTTCCATCTCTTTTGCTTTCGATGCCCACCACTGCTCACGGTCGTTTCTTAGACTTTTTCTTAACCTAGATCTGATTTGTTTTCGCTCTTCATCATGTTCAGAACCTGATGGGACGAGTTTGCGAGAATCCATCAGTGTGACAGACTTTGAAGAAATCCACTGGTTCCTTGCAACTCTGTGGTTTAAGTCACTAATAGATGTCACTGCTGTTTCCACAGCTGATTGTATGCCCTTCCAAGCAACATCTGGGTCAGCCTCGTCTTCACAACTACCTAAGTGTGACCACAGTTGTTCCTGGAACCTACTTTTGGTTTTCTCGTTACTCAACTCAGTTCTAACGGGTCTTTTTAATATGGCTTTTTTGCGTCCAGTGAGGCGCAAGCAGATGCGTGCCCGTATTAGGGCATGGTCGGAGTCCAAGCAGGTACTCCAGAATGAGCGACAATCTTCTACCGACCCTCTCCAACGATGACTGATGGCAATATGGTCTATTTGAGTCCATCGTTGGTTTGGTGTAGGGGGTCGCCATGTTAGACGATGTCTCTCCTTATGCTTAAAATTTGTGTTTGCTAAAAATAAACGATTGTCTGAGCATAGCTGCAGCAGACGATCACCATTATCTGTTCGCTGTGTCGGAATACTAAAATATCCACCTAAATGCCTTTCTGTTTGGTTTAAACTGCCTATCTGAGCATTAAAATCACCTGCTACGAGTACTATGTCTGAGCGTTTAGCTTTCTGAAGAAGTTCGGACAGCTTTCTGTAAAATTCATCTTTCACATCATCTGAGCTGCAGTCAGTGGGAGCGTAGGCAGAAACGACAAAAAGGCAACGACGTGTGTCCCTATCCTTCCGAGTTCTTACGGAGCCGTTTAGCCGAACAGCACATAGACGACTGTTGACGGGGATCCACTCTAGCAGTGCTTGTTCGGCCCTCATGCTTAGTGCTATGCCTACACCTGCTAGTCCACGAGAACCGGCCATCGGGTCACCAGATACACGAAGGGTGTACCTCGTTGGCTCTCCGTTTTGCCGAGGTGAGGTCAAGTGAATGACCACACTGGAATCCTGTATGCGTGTTTCGGAGACACAGCATACATCAATGGTAAGAGACTCTAGGGTTTTAGCCAAGGAAGCCTGCTGACCGATTTGACATAGAGTGCGTACGTTGAAGGCTCCAATGTGTAGTTTGGAGCGAGGTTTCAGTAGACCTGGGACAGAGTTTTGAGCACTAGAATCGTTGGCTATGGCGACACTTGAGGAGGAAGTTTAGGGTTGAAAGTCGATGTAGGAGGAATAATAGGAATTGAAGAGGAAGGTTGATTATGAATACAGTGGTCTTGAGTGCTGTTAGAGGTATGAGGGCGGTTATCACTTCCCGGTCGCCCACCCTGAGGAAGGGTTCTTCTGGAGGTACCTGAAAAGGAAATTGGATTAAAGGTGGTCTTAGTGACCTGAGAGCGTGACCGCAGTGCCCAAGGGGCAACTGCTTGAGGCCGATCGCGCACGGCCTTTTCGTGGGAGGTTTTTGACGTGTTAGCTCCGTTCTTCAAAGGACCTTACCGCCGGAGACGGATATCCGTGAGGTAAGGTGAGGTGTGCATTTTTAGGGTCGACCTTTTCTAACCCCACCCTTCCTTGTGGGAAGGCAGCATCGCTGTCATGCTGGTTGTCTGAAGGAAACACCTTACTGCTGTCACACCTCTGTACAGTCAGCAGTACGACTTCGCCTTCGGACCTTGGGTTTGTTGCTTTTAGTCTTACCGCTCTTCAACCGACCTGTCTGACATGGTAGGACCTTGAGGAACGGTTGTTCCAGCCAGTATAGCTCGGTTGCTTCATCACGATAGGCAAGCCCGACCACCACGTCAAGGTAGCAACAACGGTCGGGAGGTAGTTTATTACTGTGACTTTTTCTCTTCTTACTCTTTGTTTTCATTTTCTTCAGTTTTGGATGCTAACACGAACTTTGTGACTTGACTGAAGCCATCTAACATTACAATACGTACTTTCTTGACCTTCACAAAGATGGCATCAGGTAATAATGAACACGGAATTGTCGTAAAACACCAAGTTATATTCTATTAAATAAACTATTTAGTGTAACTTCAATAACAAAAGTATGGCATCTATCGTTCTGAAACGCAGTACACTGTATTTGTGCTACTTCTCTACACAGGTTTTTCATACACTATTTATTAAGAATAACTCTACGGTTAAAATATTTATAGTTATTACGTCATGTATTCCGAAAATAATGTTGTACTTTAACATGATGTCACTTCTGACCAAAGATGTTTCTCATGATAACAAAGGAGGTCCAAGTGGAATTCCCATTTAAATATCAGCTGATAGTTTACTAGATAAACTACTTTTAAAAGACTACTGGAAAAAAATATACTGGAAATAACATTTACAAGTTCATTTTATAAATCAGAAAAAGCCATGCGAAAACAAAAATCATCAAGGATGAATAGTTAACTAAAAAAAGTAACTGACGGTTAAACGCAACTCCTAATCATTCTACATTTTAAAATTAACTTACTAAGCAACCTACATATCTTAAAGATATCCATATCCTATGAAGTTGGTTGTACGGTGGCAGCAGTACGATGAGAGTTCAAAATTAGTTGTGTTGTTACAAGCAATACTGGAAATCATAATAATCGAGGTAGAGAATGCATGTTGAGTCACGTAAATTAATAAAATTTCACCACTGCTAAATAAATAGACATCACATTGTAATTCAGTTTGCAGTGGTTTGAATTATTCCATTGTTGATGTTCCTAACTGAAATTTTGGTCAGTATCAGTTAGTCTGTGCACATTCTATAACGAGTCAGAAATTGGACGAAATGCGCGTCTTACATTCAATTCCTAGTTATATTCCATCTCTGATAGAATGCATTACACTGATTACTGCTAAGTGATCAATCAGTAAAGAAAACAGGGGTTCTTATTAAATCAACCAATAAGATATCTTTCATAAAAGTACGATATTTTCAGGGGCTTGGAGTGGATAAATTTCACTTAGTAAGTGGAATTTCACTTTTGTGTATCCATAAGAAACAATTAATAATCACGATTTCCTCCCGCAACGATAACGCACCAATCACGTTCGAATACTTTCTCTCATTAATCTATTGTGGTAGTGGATGCTTTCACACGAATATAGGCTATTTGAACACAGTGACGAATTACAATTTTAGGAATTCAATAAGACAGGTTATTTATTAAATCAACGTATAAGGTTTACAAGAAAAAACAGTAGTTTATACCAACAAATTAAAAAAAATATATGTAAAAATATATAGGAGGAAATGATTGAATTTGAAGTCAATGAGTGATGTGTATCAAAGAAATTGTGACAATATCAGATTGAATTCTTACAGTTTGTTTTCGATCTCCATATTTACAATTCGCCTGCTATAACTAAATTTACATATCTCGCGGCTAATGGTGGGTCCCATTCAACACTCTACAATGTATGGAACAATAAGAAAATTACCAGAACACCAAAACAATTTCATTAAATTGCAACATAAAAAGTGTTATATCACTGTTTAAACTTAATAAACGAATAGTAACTTGTTTGTTTTTACATAGAAGTCTTAAGTCCCATACTTGGAGCCTGGACGATAGCCTCAAGCTGAAGACTTTTGAGATGGTGGAGATTTGTAGCTCAGGCGGATGATTTTGATGGAGTTTTGTTCTCTGAGCTGGAAGTTCTCTAAAATCGGTTGTAGGTTCTCACAATCTCTGTTTTCCATTGAGTTTTAGTTTTAGCATCGTCTTTAACTCTTTATTTCTCAATCTTATTTGTTTCTTTAAAACTATATTTCTTGTGCTGAGATTTTTATTGCATTTTGTGTTATTTCCCTTCCTATTCTATTCATCTTGTTAACCTCTGGTCATTTTGCCGTGGCAAGGTGTACTGATACAAATCCATCCTCAGTTGTGTATTAACTGTAACTGGCTTACTTATTCTGATGTGAGACTAGTCAGAGTACGCCATGCAATTATTTTTTCCATTATGGTTTCAGATTAATTGAAATGTGCATAAAGTTTTATATTTTTTTGAATGATTAGTTTTTACGATCAAAGTTCAAATAATCATTTTTTATAATCTCTCAACTTGGTGATATAAGGTAATTGGAGGCAGCAATCGGTACTTGTTAAATGTTCTTTTACTATCATTCAATTTATTCATCATCGTATCATTCTACTTGGTGATACCAATTCATTAATTTGTTGCTATTTTTCCTTGTATTTAGTCTGTAGCATCTTTCTAACCATTAACATATTTACTATCAGAATTCCATGAATCGAAGTAGTATATTGTCATAAATATTGCCGTCACATTATTCTAATATTGCAAACACCTATCACCAAAATCTTTCGAATAAATATTTTAGAAAACCAAACAACCTGATTAGATATCTGAAACTTGGTTGGTTGTAATATACTTTCGAGTTTGATAATAAGAACTAGGGACGTCGTTGGAACGAAGGAATATCTTTATACTATTTTTTAATGTCCTAAATGAACACTTTAAACATCTTTTTTTGATGAAAAGCACTTAGGAGACGTTAGGAAATCAAATGAAACAAAATGCAATGAATTTATTTTATTCTTTAAAACGTTTAACTATTGGCCTATCGGTGAAGAAGAACTGAAGTTATAACAATAGCTTGATAACACAATCACAGTTAAATAAGCGAATCAACTGTATGAATGTAAAACAATCGATGAGATAAATATACAAACCTTAGAGAATAGCTGATCAGCTAATAGTTCATCTTTCTGTACACCTTTACCACTTTTTAAGCATAATGCATAAAGAAAACATGCCATTGACATAGCTCGATATTGAAATGTTTGTATACATTCTGATGTTGTCACAAAATTGTCACAAGTTACCATTCTGTACAAAGACATTTACAAAATAATCAAATACTAAGTTTGTAAAGATAATGTATGTTTATGAATTACTTGGAATTGGTAAAATATTCAAATGAGTTAAAAGATAATTTTCGTGTATTTCCATCGTAGCAATGCTTATGATATTAAAGTTACTCAAATAATTTTTTTCAGTTCGTGGTAAAGAACAGTGAATAAAGGCATTTGTGTTAGGTAAATAATTGTTCTTTGCGTTTTGACGAAACTCTTGTGAAACGACAACGTGAAATTATATTCGGGTAAATAACAACTGAGTCGGATTATTGGATCACAAATAACATTCAGTTCTCGAATACGAAGTAATCCTTCAGTGTGTTTATTTGTCTACTAATATAACCTATTTTACTTAAAATAGTTTTCATATTATAATCAAGTATGGTATTTGTTGATGATAATCGATTCAAAAGCAATAAATTCTATATTTGATAGTCGTTATATTTCTCTCTTACAGTTATAACTCAGCTATTCCTATTGCTTAGTATTCTTGGACACCAAATCACTCGAAAAGTCCCCAAATCAGAACACTGTTGAACAGGAAAGGGATTATATTCCAAATAACAATTTTAGATGGAAGTAAGAAGCAAGTAAGTAGTGCAATAGGGAAAACGCTAGTGTATTTATAATTTTTCACATGAGATTTCTAGTGTTCACTAAGTATTGACTAACGCTGATTGGATAAGAATTAGCCAATCAGCGCGCACCAAATCAATCGTGCATTGAGCATGCTTTAATCCAGTTCATGTCCCGCTAACAATAGTAATAGTAAGAAATTATCCAGAACTTTTCTCCGTCATCAACGAAAATTATTTTTCTGCTAAATATTAGAATGATTTTCATCAAGATTTCATAATGATCATATAAACACAACCAGAAATTACTTAATTGTATTTCTAGTTTGATTGTGTTGATTCTAAGTAGTCTTCACTCATGAAAATCTTCACATTAAAACTAGAAACGTGAGATAGTCTTACACGCGATACCGATGTTCAGCCTGCAGATAAGTATAGCGAATTGGAGTTAGAACTTATTACTTTTGTATCATATCAGTTTTTATAATAAATTAATAAAAGTCAAGAAACTGAGTCTTAATTCATATTATGTCACCAATCGATTGAGATAGTGAATTTCAACTAATCCAATTCAGAAGACTTGATGGACATGTGTTATATTTTAACAAGTGCTTTAGATATTTACTGCTAGATGTGCAGATAATGCATTTAATGAATATGTGTTCTATGGTATAGTATAGTATATTAAATTGGTTTCCCACACTTGAATTCTCGTTCATTACGATCACAGTTCCATCGAATAGTTTCAGTTAATTTAAACAACAAACGAGTACAAGGAAGAAAATCCTTTGTAAATACGTCGTTATAGTCGAATATATGCGTTTACTAAGGAAGAGAATGCTGAAATGGAATACAATACTATGAATTAATAAAATAAGCATTCAATGTACTGAAACACCATTCGTTAGTGAAAGTCCGATGATAAAAGCTGCACATTTTAAAAGTATTAATATGTTCCATTGTTGTTAAAAGCGAAAGTAATCAACTGTATTGATATTTAGAATATAGATTGGTTTAGATAAAAGTAGAAAGTATCAGTCGAAAACGAAATATTCATCTGTTGTTTGTTGTTTCACTTCTTTGTTAGCTTCATGTTAGTCTCGTCTCCGATAGACAAAGAATATCCGTCTATATGTAATTAAGAAAGACTAGTATCATTACAGACTTCTTATTACCAAATCAGAACACTCGGTTAGTTATAGACTCATAACACAAACCTATCCAAACAAAATACACAATTAAATTAAAGATTGTTCTTTTAGATTAGATGATACGGGTAATATATTTTGACAATTAAAATTATTTATATTACCTGCTAGCCAAGTAACATACATTCGTAAACATTTTCCGTCGATAGTAAAAGTAAATCAAATTTGCTTTAGCATATAAACTGCCTCTGGCTGAAGCTTCAGATAAACAGAATAAAGCATTATCACAATTTTCTTTCACACCTATTCCATATAAATACATTACACCTAATACGGCTAAATAACAAAGGTAAATAAAAAATAATAAGAGCAGGATAATACATAGTAGATGCCACCTTAAGACATTTTACTTTAATTTTGTTGTGACAAAGTAAAAAAGAAATGAAAATACTTCAAACAAATTATTTAATAAACTTACTCGTATTTGAAACTTATAATTGGGCGGAACATGTGAGAATGTATATACTACATTTCATCACTGAACAAAGTAGTAATCTTGACCTTAAAAAGAGGTTGTGAAATCCGATGTACATAACTCCATGAATACTTTAAGCATTTTTGAGCTGTTTGCCTACTCAGTCGCAATCATAAGCAAGCACAGTATAATGATTTTCCAACCAACTAACGTGGATTTACGTATGGAAGTAGCGTGTTTAGGAAACCATTTTTCAGGAACGATGAGAAGTCTTATGCAGATATGCAAATATTTGAATGACTCAAAGTTCTAAATTAAGTTTGACTAATAATTTCAGAGCAAGACTAATGGTTCGTACCGATTTTGTGGAGAATTCTGTCAGTTCATTAAAACGTTAAAACAATTAGCTCATACGTATGCATCATAGAGAAAGATTCTGAATACTTTTGTTATTTACATAAATTGAACATTGACAAACCATTGTTCAACGTTCTACTCATTGGGATGCCAAAAATATATCTATTATTAACTTTCAACCCAATGCTCAACTTATTTAAAATTATCAATTTCAACCTTGGCATCAATACCCATAGAGTAATGATCGGTTCAGTTTCTAGAGTGGTGCTAAGAACAGTAGGTTTTGCAACACTACATCCAAAGAGGGCTCGTACCAACTAAATCGAACTTCCGTCGGTATTATACGCGATTTACAGTCAGCATTAGGGTGATTATGCACGTCAACATGTTTAGATGGAGTATATTTCTATATCAATTATTCAGAAAAAAAACTTGTTTTACCTGCAATTAGTTTATTAATCAGTTAAAAATCTAAGACGTACGTTATCAACGCAGTGTATGGATCATTTTCTATTCATAAGCTAACATATCACTTTACAGGTAGTCGAACTTCAATCAAAGCTTTCTGCAAGACTTGAATTTCTAGATTCAATCAACCATGAGATTGGCAATATACAATGTTAATATCTTTAAATAAGATGAGCTATTCTGCTAAGTCCGAGGTTTTAGTTGTTTTCCAATTGATTCCAACTTGCGATTTAAGAAAGTTTGTCTAAAGACTTCCGTATCGTGTGTGAGGCAGTTACCCAACGAAGACAGTAGAAAATGGTCGCGCAAAATCGTAGAACAGTTGAAGTTAGATACTAACATCTTTGGATGTCAGCTCAGAGGTCTATAGGTTAAGCGTTCGTGCGTGAGACTGAAGGTCCTGAGTTCCGCGTGCGGGATTGTGAATACTGACTGCTGCGGAGTTATATACTACGACGGAACGGCCATTCAGTGGTTGCAAGTTTTCAATGGTAGTCTAGCATTGATCGATTCATGATCTCAATTAAAACTTTGTAAGTAATTTAATACCAGTAAAATATTTTCATGAAATTTATTGAAAGTTGTTCCTTTACAAGTATTTCAATAAAGTTTCTTTGGCAAACTACCAGCGCCCTTTTCATATAATCGCAATAAATATTTCATGTTTTCAGTGTACTTTAATTTCCAATTAAAATTATTTAAAATCAAGCTATGGATTAGTACTTTATTTCCTATACTATATATGTTAAGGTATATGATCCAACAAATAAACGTTGCTCAGTCAGTCAGTCAGCTACAACGTAGGACCAGGCACATATGTGCATCGGTCCAGGTTGCCATACCTCATTAGCACAGCAAGATGAACACCGGATTCATAGGAGTGGTTAGGTCAAAGGTTGCAATAAGGATATAGTATAGGAAGAAAGAATTAGTTCGTAGACAGAAAGAATGAAGTGATTTTAATCTTTTAGTTTAAGGGAAGACAGGGAGTGTATACACCGACGCCATTGTGATCGATTCTGAGCCATGTCACCAAGAGTCTCCAACCATTGGTTACGAAAGTCACGCGGACCCCAACCAAGTAGTCTGCATCTACCAACATGGCTCAGACTAGAAGTTAGTGACTTCAAGCACTGATGCCACGTTTTGGTTTGGCCGCCCCTAACTTTCTTCCAACCATCCCCTACCCCGGTTAGCATTGCACGTCGTGGTAATCGGTGTTCAGGCATACGTAACACGTGGCCCAACCATCTCAGTCGATGAAGATTCATAACCTCATCAACTGATTTACCATCATTCCCTAATATCCTGCCTCTAACCTCACTATTACTTACCCGGTGATCCCAGCAGACGCCAGCAATATTTCTAAGGCATCTGTGGTCAAATACTAATAGCTTACGAGTGTCTTCTAGTCTTAATGGCCATGTTTCGCTGACGTAAATTAAAACAGAACGAACTGCCGCGCAGTATACTCGTCCTTTTATTGATAGACGGATATCTCGCCTTCGCCATAGGTGACGTAAGTTGGCAAAAGCCAAGCGAGCTTTTCGAATCCGTGCTGAGATTTCGTCCGATACCAACCCATTAGGGCTGATCAGATTTCCAAGATAAGTGAAGTTGTCAACGCGTTCGACTACTTCACTCCCTATCCTTAGTTCAGGTGTTGACCCAGACCAGTCCTGAAGCAACAACTTGCATTTAGAGGGAGAGAAGCGCATCCCAAACATTCTGGCATTGTTGCTTAGTGCTACCAGAAGACTCTGCATTTTATCAGCGTCTTCACCAAACAGGACTATGTCATCTGCGTATTCTAAGTCGATAAGTGGACCTCCTGGATGGAGATCAATACCCGAGAACTCAGTCGACGAGAGTGTTATTTCCATCAGTAGATCTATGATGAAGTTAAACAAAAATGGGGAAAGTGGACAGCCTTGACGGACACCACTTGAGGTTGCAAATTTAGATCACAGTTTGTCATAAACTCTCACTCGACTAGGAGTGTTCGAGTAAAGAGCCTTCACATGGTTTATGTACTTCTGAGGTACGCCTTTCAATGACAGACACTGCCACAGAGTCTCGCGGTCTACCGAGTCAAATGCTGCTTTTAAGTCAAGAAATGCCACCATCGTCGGACGCCGATAGGTATGCCTGTGTTCTAGAACCTGACGAATGGTGAATATGTGGTCGATGCAGCCACGACCAGGTCTAAAGCCAGCTTGGTTCTCTCGAGTTTGTAGTTCACGAGTCTTAGTTAGGCGTTTGATAATTATCGAGGCCAGTATTTTAGATACTATGTTTGTTAAACTAATCCCTCTATGGTTGTCACAGGATGATTTTGACCCTTTCTTATATATTGGGACGATAAGTGATTGCGACCAGTCAGATGGGATAAAGTCTAATTCCCAGATCTTAGCTAAAATATTAGTCAACTTAATCGCTAAAATTGGACCACCATCCTTAAAGACCTCTGGAGCCAATCCATCTGGACCAGCTGCCCTTCCTCGTTTCAGATTAACTATAGCCTTTTGAACTTCAGCAAGAGTTGGGGGACCTACTTCAATGTTCCATTCACACTGTCTGGGAATGGAGGGTATTTGTAGAGTAGCTGAAGGCCAGCTGAATTGTTCTCTGAAATGTTCCGCCCATCGTTCTAAACGCCTGGACTTGGAGCAGATGAGTGTATCGTCTTTTTCCGATATAATCTCACTTACACTTGACTTATTAATTCCAGTTTCTTTTATTAGTCTGTAAAGCTGTCTTGTGTTCCCTATAGTCGCCGCCTTTTCCATCTCTTTTGCTTTCGATGCCCACCACTGCTCACGGTCGTTTCTTAGACTTTTTCTTAACCTAGATCTGATTTGTTTTCGCTCTTCATCATGTTCAGAACCTGATGGGACGAGTTTGCGAGAATCCATCAGTGTGACAGACTTTGAAGAAATCCACTGGTTCCTTGCAACTCTGTGGTTTAAGTCACTAATAGATGTCACTGCTGTTTCCACAGCTGATTGTATGCCCTTCCAAGCAACATCTGGGTCAGCCTCGTCTTCACAACTACCTAAGTGTGACCACAGTTGTTCCTGGAACCTACTTTTGGTTTTCTCGTTACTCAACTCAGTTCTAACGGGTCTTTTTAATATGGCTTTTTTGCGTCCAGTGAGGCGCAAGCAGATGCGTGCCCGTATTAGGGCATGGTCGGAGTCCAAGCAGGTACTCCAGAATGAGCGACAATCTTCTACCGACCCTCTCCAACGATGACTGATGGCAATATGGTCTATTTGAGTCCATCGTTGGTTTGGTGTAGGGGGTCGCCATGTTAGACGATGTCTCTCCTTATGCTTAAAATTTGTGTTTGCTAAAAATAAACGATTGTCTGAGCATAGCTGCAGCAGACGATCACCATTATCTGTTCGCTGTGTCGGAATACTAAAATATCCACCTAAATGCCTTTCTGTTTGGTTTAAACTGCCTATCTGAGCATTAAAATCACCTGCTACGAGTACTATGTCTGAGCGTTTAGCTTTCTGAAGAAGTTCGGACAGCTTTCTGTAAAATTCATCTTTCACATCATCTGAGCTGCAGTCAGTGGGAGCGTAGGCAGAAACGACAAAAAGGCAACGACGTGTGTCCCTATCCTTCCGAGTTCTTACGTAGCCGTTCAGCCGAACAGCACATAGACGACTGTTGACGGGGATTCACTCTAGCAGTGCTTGTTCGGCCCTCATGCTTAGTGCTATGCCTACACCTGCCAGTCCACGAGAACCGGCCATCGGGTCACCAGATACACGAAGGGTGTACCTCGTTGGCTCTCCGTTTTGCCGAGGTGAGGTCAAGTGAATGACCACACTGGAATCCTGTATGCGTGTTTCGGAGACACAGCACACGTCAATGGTAAGAGACTCTAGGGTTTTAGCCAAGGAAGCCTGCTGACCGATTCGACATAGGGTTCGTACGTTGAAGGCTCCAATGTGTAGTTTGGAGCGAGGTTTCAGTAGACCTGGGACAGAGTTTTGAGCACTAGAATCGTTGGCTATGGTGA